GTGGTTGTATAATAGTTATATAAGCAGAAACGGCCATATATATATATTATTTATTTATTTTCCTATAGTGTTTTGCTTATTGCTGGTTTCAAACCTGATTTTTTTTTTGCATTTTAGGAGGAATGGTTGTTCCGAGTTCGAACTGAAAACGTCTATTGAGAACTGTCCTGAAAATTTTCGATCTCTCCAGTTACTCCATCTTTACTTCAAGTCCAAGCAGCACGGAACTCTTTCCATGAGTGAAAAGGCACTGCAAGTTCTTTGGAGTTCTATTCCAGATCCTCTTTTGACCAGAAGCCAATTTTCCAGAATTTTCGTCGAGAGGAAAGATAGGCACAAGCCTAGCAAGGACATGGTTGACGCGTGGAACTGGTATTGCAGACTGGTGAGAGATACTGAAAGTTGTCAAAAGTGCCCCAGATCTCTTAAACATCTCTCAAGATGCACAATTAGACAAAGGCTGAAAGAAAACCTTTTGTTGCCAGAGGCCGTCGACGTGCTTCCCATACCAAAGACTTGTAAGAAGTACTTAGTTTTAAAAGACTTTGGTGAAATAAATTGATTTTAATGAAATTCATGTTTGGCGAAGTTATTGTGCTACTTTGAGGAGAAATCCTCCAGATTAAACGTCTGGAGCTTTCCGCTATGGTAATAAGCACGAGACTGATATCTGGAGCAGTTCTCCTGAAGGCCGCACTATATGTATATTTCTGTACGGAATTTAATTAAAGAATAGAAAAAGAACTTTTCTTTATACTTTCGTATTTTAATTCTCGTTTAATACTGCTTTTCTATGCTTTTTCACCAAGAAAAATAAAATGCCTCAGTTTAAGTGCTACACTTAGACAAAGGTATAGCAATTTTAAACTATTCAACTATTTATGCAATTTTACCGCGAAGAATTATCTGGCTCTTAGAATGAACAAGCAAAATAAATATTTTAACTTCTTAATCGTCAATTCGGAGAGATTTTTCAACTCAGATTAAAAATATCAAAATCAATGAGTAATTCTCCATTTTTAAAATTTTTATGAGTGTGGGTTATGTTGCGTTGGAGTAAAACTTTAATTTTTAAAATTTACAGAAATTTTTAATTTTCTCAAAACTGTGACTTTTCTTCAGATGAACGTTCTACAATAATTTCACAACTAGCAAAGAGGACGCTGACTTGGGATAAGCTAGAATTTATTTAGCTCCATAAAGAGTTTTAATTTCAATTTTTATTTAATATTCCAAAAGTTACAGTTTCCTGTAACTTCCGACAAGAACATCAATATAATTTCGTGGCCATAATAGTTTAAAAATTTATTTTGATATGATTAAAAATGATTACGAGGATTCTTACGATACAATTCGATTGCGATGAAAATATGGTTAAAAAAATAATTTGTGTTTCAAAATCTTATGTATTGGGCTAGTTTCATTTGAATGGAAAATATCGCTTGCAAATCTCATTCTGTTTAATTTTATATATTTTATTTTATTAATGTTTCTGTTTTTTTTTTTTTTTTTTTTTTTTTTTTTTTTTTTTTTTTTTTTTTTTGCAAATTTCTGTATTCGTTATTTATTTATTTCTTTTTCTCTTTCAAATCTAACAATATCTGTCTCTGCTCCTATAATATAATTCATTAATATTTTGGAATATTCAATGCTTTATTTTATTCTTTGAAATATGATTTAATGAAACAAGTTGCAAACTTCCAAATCTTAAGATTGAATGTATTTTTTTGAAGATTTTTCACAGCTTTATAATAGCTAAATGTTTTAAATGGACTTAAGAAAAACCTAATAATTTAAAGTTAGGCAACTAACGGCGGTCACTAAATATGGTTAAATTAAAAATTGATCGGTCATTTATTGAGATGATTTCAAATTTTTTCCATCTTAGTCATAACCTTCAACACATCATAGTCTAAGGGCATCATAGTCTTATCTTCTCCCCTTTAATCAAAGCTATTTCCAATGAGCACTTGACCCATATGACGCGTGGTCCCCCTCGACATATTAATGGATTATATCTATTGTTATGAGCCTTATCTTATCTTCACTTGAAAGTCTCTTTAAAGTGAACTAGTCTCTTTTCCTGCTTTCTTTCCCCAGGGTGGGAGTTTGATAATTGATGCCACTGATTGAAGAGGTAGGAATTTTTTGCGCAGTTCAGGCCGACCCGAAAGTGGGGACAAGACTGACCATCGTGAAAGACGTTTTCTGAAAGCATGCCATTATCTAAATTTAAAAAAGAAGAAAAAAATATCCAAGTTTTTAAAAAAAAAAAATCTTCCTGTTTTCATAAAATTAACAAGACATAAATTGAAAACCATGAATATCATATTAAAAGCATGTAAAGCGCTCCAAATTGAAAAGCATGAATGAAAGACTGAAATGGGAAAAAAAACCAGTGGCCACGTGGTCATTCTTCAAGGTCACACCTCCCCCTGTTTTTGTCTTGAGGATATTTGTGAGGATATTTGTTGTGAGGATATTGTGAGGATATTTGTTTATTTCGGTAGACGGAAAAAAAGGTCCCGGTAAGAAAGTCCCGGTTAGAAAGGTCCCTGGAAAAAAAGGTACGGAAAAAAGGGTCCCTGGAAAAAAAGGTACGGAAAAAAGGGTCCCTGGAAAAAAAGGTCCCGGAAAAAAAGGTCCCGGTAAGAAAGGTCCCTGGAAAAAAAGGTACGGAAAAAAGGGTCCCTGGAAAAAAAGGTTCCGGTAAAAAAGGTACCTCCATAGGGAAAATCTGTAGGGATGTTTCCCCTCTCGCTTTCTGGGCAGCATTAATGCTTCTCGCTGTTTCAATGAATATTCTTTTTATCTGTAATAATTCAGATTAGATCATTGAGGTAAGGAGAAGGGTAAGGGGGGGGGGACTTATGGGCTGGTTGCATTACGCTTTTTTTTAAAATTTTATTTCATTTATTTATTCTTCTTTGATTATTTTTTAAAGCGCGAAGGTATTTAAATTTTTCAATAATGTTTTACTTTTTTTTGTAATTTTTTTAAGTGAAAAATGTGTTATTTTCTATTTTAAATTCTTTTTTTATTTCTTTAGAATAAATAAGAAACAAAAGTTAAAAAACCATGCAAACAGCAAAAAGCGCTGCAATCTAATCTTCTCATTTCAAATATTTTCCCCTACAGAATTTTCCCTACACAGGTACCTTTTTTTACCGGGACCTTTTTTTCCGGGACCTTTTTTTCCAGGTACCTTTTTTTTCTGGGACCTTTTTTTCCGTACCTTTTTTTCCGGTACCTGTTTTTCCTAGAACAGTCCCACTGAACCCTAAAGTTCCATGGAAGAGTTAAAAGGGTTTCAAGAGTTTGAAGTTAAATTTTTTTTAAGCCAGTAATAGTTTCCAAAATTTTAACTATGTTTAAATATAATAAGTGCTGTAATTGGGAAAAACATATTTGGTGGAGCTTATAATTTTATACGGTATATGTTACATTTGACTGATTTTTGTCAGGCCGCAAATGAAGTTACTTGACCACTTTAATTAAAACAGCAGACATTTTAAAAAAAAGGGGTTGTTGCTGTCAATTTGCATTATTTTTATCTTTGGTGCATTCATCATAAAAAGCTATTGATAAAATAATTGTGTAATATAATAAACTATATAATAATTATTTGCTTTTACATAGGTTTACTTCCTTACCAGATTATAAAATATGTAAGAAAGAGTTATAAGGAAAAATAATCTCATTTAATATTCAAAATTTTACGCACCACATAAAATAAACTGAAAGCTATTTTATGTAAAGATTTTGTTCTCATTAAATATTGGTAAATGCAATTTAAATATCTCTATATATATTTCTTTACAGGGCGACAAAAAAAAAGCCTCATTACAACTCCCCAAATGGCAACGCTAGAAAATCGACCAATGATTGCTGCTAAAAATGTCACATGCCAAATCTAGCTGAGGTGGCTCAACTTATAGCACTATTAAAAACGGAAACTGAAATAACAATTCAGCTGCGGCAATATCGTACTATTAAGCTAGGCAGAAGAGAGTAGTCTTTGTCGATAGATCTCTATTTAAGTATTTTGAAATTTTTTTCTTAACAGGACTGTTCTTATATTCTCATTGTTTCTGCTTACAAATGAACCCAAACCAGATCAGATCGAAATCAGGTTCGAAAGCTCACTTGAGCTTTTGAATATGATTAGTACAATCGGCACTTCTGTTAGTACAAAAGAATTTTTTCCCCAGAAACGAGCAGAAATTTTTGTATAACTTCTTAGAGGAATATAAATAACAATATTAATAAATAAGTAAATAAATAAAGGATAAAAAAATTAATTCAAATTTTTTTTTCTCAAAAATTTTAAATTTTTTTACTACAACAAACCATATGCGTATTTCAGGAAATGGCCCCACCCCCCTAAAATAACAGCAATGAATTTAATCAATAATCTTTTATCTATTTAATATTTCAGTAGTAAATTGGTAGAAGCAAAATGCCAATAGAAAATAGAGATTTTTTTAAAAAAAATAAATACTTTTTTATAATAATGATAGATTAATCATGAAGAAAGATCTGCATTTAAGAAAATGCCTCATTCCTCATCCGACTCTTAAAATCAAAATAAAGTAACTAAGGGCACAAATAAAGAAATATATTTCCCTAATAACCATTCATTGCAGTTTTTTTTTAGTTTTCCTTTAAAAGAAGCCCATAATTCTGCTTATTTTGTTCGTTTTCAGCTTATGTAATGCACCGAAAACTTAACCAGAGGTAGCGTAAAGACAGCGAATTTAACTGTGGGACATAAAATCTGATTCAAGATAATTAAAGAAAAAACGACGAGAAAAAATTTATTAGATTATAAAAGATAAAACGATGAAGAAAAAAAAAACATTCCTCTAATTTATTACCGGAGATTAAAAAGCCGAGTTTAAGACTATAAATGTTCAGCTTTGTAGCTTTGTAATTTTGAAACCAACCCAAAAGGCTAGGAAACTCCAGAATCAAGAATTTAAATAAACTAGCCTTCGTGGAGGACTTATTGATGAAACTAAAGCATGACGTCATATGGAGAGGGAAACCATGATAATCTTCCACGGTTAGCCCGACGGCAAGGGATTTCCAACCCCTGAACCGTCAACTACTGAGCATATTTCACGTCAGCACGGTGTTCAGAGCGAGCTGGGTGTAAAATTCGTATCAAACAGCCACAGCTGGGATTCGAACCTAGTTCACCATATTGTGAGACGAAGGCTCTATCCCCAGACCCAATGTGGCTCCATTCCTCTAATTAAATACTTCATAATAAAATAATATTTTATTGGTTTATATTACCACAAATATCTTTACTTTAGTTATTAAGAAAGAGTTCCGTCGAAAGAAGTTTGATAATTTAGGGTTCCATAACCGTAAAAATAGGGTTCTCTGATTTCGAGAATATAAAATCTAAATCTCGTTTCCTGCGCCACCCGTTTGCCCAAACAATAATTTAAGCATTCATGTTCTTTTTATAGAGAAATATCTTCTACAAAAAGACTTGAATACTAGCAGTCAAGTATATTCTACTACTCGCATTATGCTCTTTTTCTTCAAATTCTGTACCTGAATTAAGAAAAGATAGAATAAAAGACTAATTAACTCGAACAAATGTATTTTATTTTTAGATTTTAAAAATCTTTAATTTTTTGCAGAATTGTACAGATGCTGGTCTTTGGTATTAGTGTTTCTTTCGTTTTATTCGAAAGGACTTAAAAAATTTCGGAAATATTTTCTTAGACTTGGCTTTCGATTCTCCTGAAATGAGAAATGAATTCGGAATAAGAATAAGCCATAAGTTGGAATAAGAATAAGTTGTAAAAATCAGTTTTTGAACATCTATTGACATTTTCTAAGTACCAAATATTTTGTGATTCAGTCAAGAAATAAAATCGGTTAATAAAGTCTAATTAACACGAAACAACGCTTAAAAACAATAATTTTTATTTTAGGCTTTGGAAAATCTGTTCATTTATGTTGAATTGTACAGAAGCTGTTCTCTTTAAATTAGGATTTCTTCTGGAATATGCGGAATGATTTAAGAAATATCGAGAATTTATTGTCGAGCATGTTCGTTGATTCTTCTGAAAGAAAAATGAATACGAAATAAGAAATCCAAAGTCGCAAATGTCAGTTTTAGAACAAAGAGTGCTCTTAAATAATAAAACGAGTTTGCCTCGAGCGATAGCATCATGCCAAATGATACTGAGTTCAACGAATCTTTATTTTGATTACATAAACTATTATAAATATGTTTTGTTTAATCGAATATTGTAAAGCCACCAGGAAGCACAAAATATAATAATAATAAATAAATTAGAATTATTTTAGTTTTATTAATTGTGTTGGTATACGTCTTTCAATTCTACCAGTAACTAAGCTACCGTCAGTATAGTTCGATGGGTTCTAGACCTGCCACGGGAAGGTGCTAACACCAGTCGGGGGATTTAATCTAGCATCGATAGAAAAAAATTTAAAAATTGTAAGACTCTACATATTTTTACATTATTTCAATTTGCGTAGCTTTAAATGAAAATCGTTCGAATAGTTCGAGAAATAATTTAAAAACGCCTCTATGATAATGCAAAACATGGAGAAAGGGACGTTTTTTAAAATAAGGTTCGAAACATCAAACTACTCTCCTAACCAAACTATTAGAACCAAATTTTGTAAATAGCGATTAGCCTCCCCCGTAGTTTGAGGGTCATATCCGTCAAAATAAATAAACAAATAAAATAAAAATGCATATTTATTTCGAAACGTTTTTGTGTCTCATGTCGTCACCTCAAGCAACAACTGCACTAATTAATTTACATAGTTAGTAGGATTAAGGCCTTGAATTATTAAGATTCCATCGTAGTGATAGCATTTTGATCAAAATCAGATCAAAAGCACTTCGCGTAATGTATGTCAATGTGAATTAAGGAATGAATAAATTACAAGTGTGTGAATGAATTAAATTAATTATAAATTGATGAATGAATAAAAGAATTAACAGTATGTATGTGTGATTGAGTGAATATTGACAAAGGTGAAACAAAGGCTTATTACTTATTACTTATTGACTTACCTTTTTTGGTGGATGCCTCAAGAATTGAAGGTGAAGCGACGCTGCGTTTACGTATGGATTCCTTCAACTCCATGGTCACCGGCTGATCTTCAAGCGCTTCTATAATCTCTGTGGCAACTGGATTCTCCGATTTGGGAATCAAAACTGGATCCAACAAATCAGATAATGTATCCTCTTCTTCTGGAAAGTCAAGAGAAATAAATACTACGTATTCTCAAATTACTAAACACTTTTTTAAGGTGTTAATTTGATATCGAAGATTACGCTGCACAACATGAAAAATGCGTGTTAGATGAAAATACGCGTTTCTTGCAAATTTTTGGCTGAAAATAGCGGATTCGTAATTATTTTTTACTTACCATGAATCGTTTTCCCGAAATTCCACATATTAGCTTAGTAACTTTACGTTTCTTAACACGCAATAACAACTTACAGGTAAAAGAAAAGCACTCTCATTGATCAAAACCAACTTGGCAGCTATTTTGGTGTTAAAAACCTTATCAACCATTCCGAAGTACCAAGGCTTTAAATGCATTAAGAAAAGGAATATTCCTGAAATCGCTGGAAGCTTTGGTAACGTCTTCTTGGTGACGTCTTCGATACATAGTTTTCCCTTGTTTACGAAAAATCGAATTTGGCGCCATTTATATGCTTCTGTAGAAAATGATGGATGGGATTTTATATAAGTTCAGGCGAAACATTTAATTTTACAGATTTATTCAAAAAAGATGGACAGAATTTTATTAATTTGTATTTAATGAAGTATGAATTGGACAATTTACATACTGATGATAAGAAAAAAGTTCAAAGTTTTGTTTTAGCACAGGGTATTGTATCGAATACAGGGGTTTGTTTCGATTGGAAATAAATATGACAGTTCTTAAGACTCCAAGAATTTATATTAGCAGAATCTTCCAGAAAATACTGCTGAAGAATAATCAGGAAAATATAGTTCAGCTCAAATAGAGTGTAGTACATAACAAAACAAACGCTACACAATTTCAGACGAGTCAACGATCTAACTCAGGTTAGAACACAAATAAAGTCACAAGCATATTAATATCCACATAGTCTATACTACTTTGTTCTGCGAGGCATACTCTTATATAGACTTGGCGACAAAACCCAACACCCCGGAACTTTCAACACGATGCTAGACCATTCTCGTTTAACTCCGTGAATATTAGTCTTCTCGCTTTCGAAATTAAAATTTTCCAGAACTATCTTTTCGTCTTTTTGTTGATTGCCAAGTATCGATAAATCGCCATGTTGGCAAGAATGTTGCCAAACCGAGTTTTCCGTAGGATATACATTAGGCGTTATTTTTTCTCCAGATTACGTAAAAATTTCGTGACTTTTTTGCTAATTTTCTTATTAAACTGTTTCTGTGGGGTTCATCTGAGATATTTTACTTCAAAAAAGAATATTCACAAAATTATACATATATTTACAAATTCGTAACAGTATAAACCATTTAATATGAACCCTCTTTGCTTCATGGCAAACATCTAAAAAGCGATAGTGAAACGTGAGAGAATTAGCTCGTACTCACAACTGGCCAGCTTACTCATCGTGCTACTCACATCTTACCGACATTGAATCTTTCTTTTGGAGTACTCGCCTCATTATCCTCACCGCATCCCGTTCATCTTACGTGAAATACAATTAGGTTTCACATTTTATTTAATCCTTTAATTCTCCTAAATATTATGACTAAATGAATTTTACAGTTTAATGAAATTAAATATTGGAACTTACGATGTTCTGGAAATGATTCTGTAATGAATCGCAAAGCAGTGTCAACTGTAAAAAAAGGAAAAAAAAACACACAATATTCTGCATTATTATTATCTTAATAGAGTGATTTAATGTTATAAGAAACTTTTTCTTTTACTATAAAAATTTCCAGAGCTAGTAAAGAACTCCTCTCGAGGAGAGTTCTTTACTAGCGGGATTATGGGTCCTAATGTGTCCCATGAAAACATTGTTCCTGGGCGAGGAAACATGAAAACCTGGGCGAGCCCATTGTTATAGATGGAGTGTGGTCATAATGTAATGACTCTTCGGTGTAAATAGATTGAAAATGATGACGGGTTCATGCCTTCTCAACGGACAGACAAATCACGTGGTATACAGTTTTCGCACATGAAGAGCAAGATTTTTTCAGTTATAATTTAGCAAAAAGTAACGAAAGTTATAGTCTTAGTAAAAGTCGCATTTTTTTAAAACTTGATTTTTCAAGAGAAATACGATCAATTTCGTTTAAATTTTGTGTCTTGCCATTTAAAATTACTTGATGTAACAATTTACATACCTCATGGTTCACATTTTTTATAGACTTTTATTAAATAAAATGATAAAAAAAAACAATATAAAAATAATTTTTTGAATGGATTTTTCTTTGGATAAACGTATTTTATTGATATATGCAAAAAGTTTTCGATTGAATAAAGAAGTTCTCAATGTTTGGCAAAATACGCAAACGTAAAAATTAACATTAAGGAGTCAAAGCTTCCAATAACTTTCTTGACCAAACAATTGAGACCTTAATGTTCAGATTGCTGCTACCTCTATATTTTAAAGGACAGAAATCCAAATTCGTCGTATAAAAAGGTATGTTTAGTCAGAGAAAGAATATTTTTTAATTGGAGCAAATGTAGTAAAAAGAAATTCACTAATTCAACTTGAAAATATTATTTAAATTTATTATTATTTTAATATATTTCATAAAATATTTTACCTAAAACAAAAGCAAAACGCTTAAAATGTAAGATAAAATTAACTTGAGGACTTTGCTTAAAGTTATTATTTTCTAGAAAAACTATTAAAAACTTAATTCTCTACGAAAAAATAGGAAAACTTACGATCAGAAGGTGTCTCTGGTGGGACGACAGATTCTTGTTCTTTTTCTCCTTCTACGGATTCATTCGAATGAATTTCACTTACGTCGTCCTCAGCTTTTGGCGACTCTTCACTAAAAGTAACCTTTTTTTGCATAGTTGCTTGATTTTTAACAATAGATTTGATTTCTGGCTTGTTTTCAAGATCGTCTGACGGAAATTTGGAATACAGAATATCTTCTAAGTTTTCTTCCAATTTTCTTATACCAAAGCAAATGAATTTTTCGTTTTCTTCGTTTTTCATATTCATGTCCTTCTCAGTCAGTAACACTTTTTCGATATATCCAACTTTCCCAACCGCCCGTTCGTTATCAATCTGAAAAACTCCATCTTCAGTTGGATTTTTTTCTTTGCGTTCGACGTTGTCTACAGTTTCATCTTTGGTAGCGATTTCTGATTGGTTGCTTTCGGCGCAATTGCCAACTGGTGTAGTTTCATTCATACCTTGTTCGATATCATCTTTATTGGGACTAGTCGTAATGTCGTCTAGCTTATCCCCTGCCGAATTTGCAGAACTTTTTTTCAGCGCCAATTTTCCTTTAAAATTCAAAGGGTCGACAGACTTTTCTGCCGTTGTTACATTGTAAGCCATGAAAGTTGTTTGAGGAGCACTTTCAACTTTAGAATCTCCTATAGCATTATCAGGGACATAAGTATTCTTAATATTGCTGCAGGTAGAAGTTTTCGGGTTGAAGTTCTTAGCGTAATCCTTCACCACAACTACTTCAGATAAGCCATGCTCAGCATCGGCACAGTGTATGCAATGCGATTTAATAGTACCCTCTTCATTTCCTGAGTTGTTCATTCTGAATTCAACGGTATTATCCAGTATTGCTTCATAACTTCTCGGTATATTTGTGTTTGAATTTCGAGCAACTTTCATATCATTAAAAATTTCTCGACGCACCATTCCAGAACTATCAGAAGAGTTAATATTTGCGATTTCCTCTTTACTATCAATGATTGTTTTCAATTCCATCTTGGTTTTTAACTTTCCAGTTTTACTTTTAGATTTTTTTATCCTATATTCAACATCACGTAGTTCTTTAGGCATTGCACCGTACTTTATCCAATTAGGCGAATTAAAGTCTGGTTGAGTAATAATCCGGCCGCCAAAGGCTCTCACGAGCCTAGTTCCAAATTTATCAGAAGGGTTAACGTTTCCATCATCGCTTTCAATGACGAATTCAATTTTCATTTTGGTTTTCACATTGTCAGGTTCCTCTTTTGAGTTCTCTCGAATATCAGTCCGCGATTCTTTTAAAACTGTCCCGTAATTGTTTGGTACATTTGATTTCGAATTCGGCAAGTTATCGTCGGATTGAGAGACAGTTCCCTCTTTTAAAGTTTCTCCAAACGGTGATCCAGAATTTATTTTTCCTGTTAAGTTTGATAACAAATTCAGTGATTCCTTGAAAATTTTATTTACACAATTTGTTGTGCTACACAAAACCTTGTCAGAATTATCCGAATATTTTTTTCCGAAGTGATTCATATTTGTAGTTTCGATTTCACTCCGTACATCAAGGTCTATAAGGTTATATGTTATTACGTTTTGGTTAGGCAGGTCATGATTTTTATTAATGTCACGTTCTGTGTTTCCATTCGAACTTGATTTGGTTTCAAATTCCTCCATGTCACTGGAAAAAAAATGTATGAATTACACATTTAAAAGTAAATCGCTTTTTTCACACACACAATTACTTATCGTCTTCTTATTTTGAACTTATGGAATAATTACCAAATGTGAAATATATATATTGTTTAATTCTATTTTACTGCTGCAGTAGATGGTAAAAAATTTGACAATTACTTATTTAAATAGGTCAAAATCTTATTACTGTCGTTCAAATTATGACAGATCTTTATTGTATATAACGAGTAAATTTCTCTCAAAATATTCGCATCGGAGACATATTTTATTTTGTTTTATAACCGTCGTTGAACAGCCAACCCATTTTAGGGTTTACGACTGTCAATGTTCAATTTGGTAGGCTTGTAATTTTACATCAAACCCAGAAGACAAGGGAACTCCTGGACCAAGTACCGGGAGAAATTTTGCCTTAGTGGAGGACTTTTTTGATTGAACTAACTAGCATTTGTGTTACATGGAGAGGAAAACCACATAAACTTCCTACGGTTAGCCTGGTGGCAAGGTTAGCCACCTAACCCATGATTCGTCTACCATTGAGGAAATTTTGCATCAGCACTGTGGTCAGTGCGAACCGAATACGAACGGTATTCGTATCTACCAGCCATTACTGAGATTCAATCCTGGTTGGTGAGACTAGTGCTCCATCCTCTAAGCCACCATGACGCGGAGGCACCATTTTGCCTCAATTCAGGATTAGGGAGCTACCTTATATTCTGAGTTGTGTCTAAAATTAGATATCGTAGTGGGACGCTAAAATAACGCACATGTAGTTTTTTTTCTTCTCAAACTAGACATGTAGTTTTTTTTCTCAAATTGTGTACTAATAGAAATTTAGGACCATAATGTAGTTCAGAGCCACTGATAGAAATTAACCATTACGTGCTTTAAATTTGCTGCAATTTTAATACACTGCTGGACAATTGCTAAGGACGGATAACACTATCATCCATAGCAACCATAAAATTAAAGGAAGCAAAATGTGGAAAATTAGAATACGTGCGGGATATAGTAAGAAGAGGTATGCGTATGCAAATTTTTTTTCCACGTCTGTTCATCACGTGATAGCGCTGATAAGAGCTTTAAAGGTTTTGACGCGTTGTGGAGAACTTTTCGCTTGCTG